GACTGTGGAGCAGTGAACAATCACAATCACATCTGCATATTACAGATTGTTGATAGATCTTCCACCAATCCTGACACCACATTTCTCCTCATAGAGCTCAGCCTCCTGGATAATCTAATCCGCATACAGGTTGAAAAGGTATGGACATAGGAAACATCCCTGGTCTATGCCCTTCCCAATTTTGAACCATGTAGTGTTTCCCTGCTCTGTTCTGATGACTGCCTCTTGGTCCAAGTATAGGTTTCTCATTAGCACAATCAAGTGTTCTGGGATTCCCATTCTTCTCAGAGTCAGCCACAGTTTGTTATGATTCACACATTCAAACGCCTTTGCATAATCAATGAAACACAGATATACATTCCTCTGGTATTCCCAGATTTCAGCTAAGATCCATCTAATATCAGCTACAATATCCCTAGTATCATGACCCCTTCTAAACCCAGCCTGGACTTCCGGCAGTTCTCTGCTGATGTGCTGTTCCATTCATTTTTGGATGATCTTCAGTAGAATCTTGCTTGCATGTGAAATAAATGATATTGTTCTATAGTTTCAACACTTTGTTGGGTCACCCTTCGTTGGTATGGAAACATCCAACTTCCAGTCAAGTGGTTGTTTTCCAGATTTCTTGGCAGAAGTTGGTGAGCAAGTCCAAGGCAGCATCTGTTAACTTAAATATGTCGATTGGTATAACGTCTATTTCTGGGGCCTTTTTTTTGCTATTTCCTTCAAAGCAGCTTGAACTACTTCCTTCATCACTATACGCTCATATATTGTTTCATTAAATTCTTCTGTGTCTGCCAATTCCTTTCGATACAGTGACTCAGTATATTCTTTCTATCTTCTTTTAACACTTCCTGGATCATTTAATATTCTGGCTAAACCATCCTTGATTAGAGAAACTTGAGGTTTGAATTTGTTCTTCAGTTCCTTGAGCTTAAGAAATGTCGAGCGAGTTCAGCCCTTTTGATTTTCTGACACTAACTGCTTGCATATTTCATTGTAATACTTTACTTGGTTATCCTGTGCTGCCTTTTGAAATATTCATAATATTCCGGATGTTTCTGGGTTAAATATTTCACTAATATTGTTGTTGTGGTTGTTATGTGCCGTCGAGTTGTTTCCGACTCATAGCTACCCTATGCACAACAGCCCTAAACCCT